TCATTCATCAGATGGATGTAAAGATGACTTTCCTAAACAGAAAGTTAGAGGAAGAGATCTATATGGATCAGCCACATGGATTTGTAGCAAATGGTGAAGAAGGCATGGTGTGTAAATTATTGAAGTCCTTATATGGCCTGAAACAAGCTCCTAAGCAGTGGCATGAGAAATTTGACAGAACTTTGACATATGCTGGCTTTGTTGTGAATGAAGCTGACACATGTGTATACTATCGGTATGGTGGGGGCGAAGGAGTGATCTTGTGTTTATATGTTGATGACATACTGATCTTTGGAACCAACCTTAATGTGATTAAGGAGGTTAAAGACCTTTTGTCTAATAATTTTGAGATGAAAGACTTGAGAGAAGCTGATGTTATTCTTAATGTCAAGCTGCTAAGAGAAGGCAATGGTGGGGTTACACTTTCACAATCCCACTATATGGAAAAGGTATTGAGTCGCTTTGGGTTTAGTGACTGTCAACCTACTTCTACGCCTTATGATCCTAGTGTGCTATTAAGAAAAAATCGAAGAATAATAAGGGATCAATTGAGATACTCCCAAATTATTAGTTAGCTTATGTATCTGGCTAGCGCTACGATGCCTGATTTCTCGTTTGCTGTGAGCAGACTAAGCTAGTTTGTGTTAAATTCGGGAGATAATCATTGGCATGCTCTTAAGAGAGTATTGCGCTATCTAAAAGGTACTATGAGTTATGGCATTCACTATTTCGGGTACCCAAAAGTACTAGAGGGTTTTTATGATGCTAATTGAATATCTGATGATGATGAGATTTATGCCACAAGTGGATATGTGTTCTTGCTTGGAGGTAGTGCAGTTTCCTGAAAGTTAAGCAGACCGTTTTGTCAACTATGGAAACAGAACTCATAGCATCAGACACCGCTGGCGTTGAGGCCGAGTGGCTTTGTGAACTCCTTATGGATTTACCGGTTGTAGAGAAACCTATACCGGCTATTTCTATGAACTGTGATAACTAAAGTAAACAGTTTTAAGGACAACATGAAGTCCACAAAGGCACATTAAGCGGAGATTAAAATCTGTCAGAAAATTGAGAAACTCCGGAGTGATAGCGTTGTACTATGTTCACATGTCTAAAAATCTGGTAGATCAATCCACTAAGGGACTATCACGTAATGTGATAGATAGTGCATCGAGTGAAATGAGCTTGAGACCCACATGAAGTCTATCATGGTGATAACCTATTCTATATGATCGAAGATCTCATGAAGTAGGATGGTGAAACAAGCCAGGGGTAGGCTGTGAGGAAAGACCCTTAACTAAAACCATATCTGATGCACTTCTTTCTTTTTCTATAAGGCAGGTTGGTTTTATACCTTAATGTGTTTCAAAGTGGCTTGTTGAAGCAAAGATGTTGTCCTATAGAACATCTTTTGAGGAACACATCTATGTGAGTTTGACTGCTAGTCATAGTCCATGAGATTTAGGTGATCTCTGGATACTTATGAATGGGCCAGGAGTATGACTTATATGCTCCAACGAGAGTGGATGCCTTTTGCAACCTAGTATCAGCAAAGGGCATGGGTGAAACTTATTTCGCACAAAACTGCCGATTCAAGGCATAGTCCATTGTATAGTTGTGAGTAAGCGTAACCTTTGCTCTAGGTAAAAGTTCAACTTAACAGTCTCCATCGAAACACTGGTATATCAAACGATAGAGAGAATTGAGAGCATTTCTTATGTGTCCTAGAATTTGGTGGGGATTGTTGAATATTATATGGGTTTAGGTCCATATTTTATTTAATACAACAACAACAACATAGTCTTTCAGTCCCAAGCAAATTGGGGTATGCTAGAGTTGAAACCCACCAAGAGTCCCAAGTCACAGTTCAGGCACTTCAATAGCTGTTTTTCAAGTACTCCTATTCAAATATAGATCTCTAGATATATCCCAAGCTTTCAAATATCTTTTTATTGCCTCCTCCATGTCAATTTCGGTCTTTCTCTACCTCTGCTCATATTATTAGCTTGGCTTAGGACTCCACAATGCACTGGTGCCTCTGGAGGTCTCCTTTGAACATGAACAAACCACCTCAACCGATGTTGGACAAGCTTTTCTTCAATTGATGCTACCTCTAGATGATCATGTATATCATTGTTCCGAACTCGGTCCATTCTAAGCCCATATTAAATGTTGTGATACAATATAGTTTTAGTCCCGTATGAGATTTTAACTGATTGTTGACTCAACTTAAATAGGCTACACACGTGTCCACCTATAGAGAAGTTGAAAGAGGATAAAGACGTGCCACACACGCATGCGCGCCGCCGCCGCCATCGAGCCGAGCCATGGCAAGCGAGTGATGCGATGCGATGCGTGCGTGATGTGCACGAGCGCGAGCCGTGTGGTGCGCTGGTGTGGGTTGGTTTTGCTACTTGGGCTGGTTAAGGAAAAGGAAGGGATACATGCGCGATTGAAGAGGAGTTACTTACGGGTCAGTTACCATCCACTACAGTGATGATTACTCATAATCACTTCAATTGATTTGTCTTCCTAATCTCTCAGGTATTACCTTCCCTTCCGTCATTACCTTGCCTCACGTACTAAAACTTCCTTCTTTCGAGTTACATCTGAGTACTCCCCGTCCTATCCTCTGCGTGCACAGAGTTTTTGGGGGACGAGGCCTCCGGAACCGGCGTTTGCGTCGGGACACCTGCTTGGGTGTGTACGGACAATCAGGTTTTTGGAGAGCGTCTTCGCGACTGCTCGTCGTCCTCTTCTTCCTCGGAACGTCTTCGTCTCCTTCCTGGTGGTGCTTCTTCTTCCTCGGATCGGCTTCATCTACTTCCTGGTGGACGTTCGAGGGACGGCACTGCGTACATCTTCCTGCATCAACTGTGGTCCACGACTTCGAACAACTCACTGTGAGTGAGAATAGAGCCACTGGTGCTTTGAGCATGAGTCCCTTCGCTGGGTATATCTCTGTTCTCGAATTGATTAAATTCAAACTCATTTCCGTTATGATTAGTATGTTATTCATGAACATATTCGCTGCTAATCTGAGTAGTAGTAAAATTACATACATGCACATATTTGTCATCATTATTTTACTATTAATTTTAACGTGAAAATGTCTAAATTCCCAACACGTCGCCGAAATCCGGCCGCGAGACGATGAGAAAGCAAGTGTGGCCAGGTGCTCAATTCAACCCAGGCAGGCACCATTTGGCATCTGCTGCAGCCATCAGGGCAGCAGCTCGTCGTGGTCGACCCCTTTGACCCCCCGGAGCCTGGACCCGGAGCACAGATCAAAGCCATTCTCCAACTCCAATCGCGCATGGCACGGTCCGAGAACAACTGATTGATTGGTGTTAGTGCACCGCTGTTGGGTGGGCGGCCCCGCCGGCCGTCGGCCTACGTGAATATATGCCCCCTGCCGATCAGTGGGCTGCGAATCATTGCGCCATGTCCAAGGTCTGGCCACACGGCACCAGAGCTATGGATGGATGCCCGTGCAGCTCGTTCGTTCGTGGCACTAATTTATTTTCCTTCACCCGCTTGATCATCTCGGGGTGGATCAGCTCGACTTGGACCGTGCTGCGTGTGGACTGGGGACTGCCGAGCGCACTTGCGGCAGGGAGGAGTGTGGTTGGAGCCTTGCTCAAAGTGCTCGACGACCACTGACTGACTACCCTATCTACCTGCAGAGCTCGAGGAGTCATCAATCCACTTGACAGGTAGCTATCGCCCATCGCCGCCGCCGCCAAGTTCTGGTTCTGGATGCATGCACGGACATGACAAGAATCAAGGCCACGCTGGCTGCCGGGGGTGGAGCTAATCGTGGAATCCTGTTATCCTGTCGTTCTGGGTTTCGCCTGATGAAACTAGTCCCTGTCTGTCCCTGCGCTCGCGAGGTTTCCGAATCCGAGCTGCAACCATGGGCAGCCGCCATACGTATGTCCTGTGAGTCTATGACCAGCTCGTTTTAGCAAGCAGCACGGAAGGGCAGTGATGAAAGCTGCCACCTAGCCTCTAGGTTGGCACGAAACAAACCTGTGCCGCACCGCATTGATCAGGTCCAGGGCGGGAAACAACGAGGAACGCGATCCTAGCATCCGGACGTCCGGCACACGAGATATGTTCGGATGCCGCTCCCCTTCCCAACCCCCTCCCACCGCGTCCCTGTCCTTCGCTCCCCACCGTGCCCCTATCACCGTTCCCCAAACGCACCCCATTCCCCACCGTGTACTGTTCCCCACCGCTCACATATCCTAAGAGCACGAAACACTTCAAAAGTGCAACATCGCAAAAATTATGTAAACTGTGTAGTGCAACATTGGAATATAAATACTGTAACATCACAAACTATGTAGTGTAACATCAAAAATTATGTACTGCACGTCAAAAAATTATGCACTGCAACATTCAAAAAGTATGTACTGCAACATCTCAAGCAGTATTACTGCAACGTCGCAAAATCAACCATGAAACATGAAAATCGAAAACATCTCAAATAATCTTTCAGGGTTGCAACATTCGAAAAAGGTAATTTCAACAATTAAAACCATCTGTTGCAACATTAGGCGAAAAAACAAATCCCAACATTAGAACTCTTTCTACAGCACATGGAACATCCTATTATAACATTCAAAAATCATCTATTGCAATATCCCTAAAATCCCCTTTTAATACGGGAGAAAATAGCAAAAAATGTACAAACAACAAAGAGAATGAGTCCGAGGTGCAGGTTGCTCCAGCCCCTGGCCCCATCACTTTTGAGCTCGCCTGAGGGAGGAGGGAATAGGACCCAAAGCTCGCTGAAACCCTAACCACCGCCGCATCCTCAGATCCAGAGCAGAAGGAGGAGGAGGGCCTAGATCCATAAAAGGACCGACCTACCTCGTCGGAGCCGCCGCCGTTCGAACTCCCAAAAGGCCAAAACCCTCCGACGACCCGTCCCGCCGCCGCCACCCCGACGGCACCAACACCTCCTCGCTCTCCTTCCGTCCGCCGTCGCCGCGATGGACAACGACCCCTCGCGCCAGGTGCGCGTGCGCTTCGTCACAAAGCTGCCGCCTCCGCTGCGGGCGCCGCCCGCTGCCATTGCCGTCCCCGCGGACCTCAGCCGTATGGGCCTCTCCGAGATCGTCAACAGCCTCCTCGTCGCCGGTGAGCGCCTACGACCCATCCGCGGCCTCCCTCGAGAGTAACCACCCACGGATTTCTAAGCCTTTCTTCGCTCTCGTTTTGCAGCCGAGCCGGACCACCAGGCGCATCCCTTCGACTTCATTGTGGACGGCGAGCTCGTGCGGCTGCCACTCCAGGATTTCCTCCTCGCCAAGGGCATCTCCGCGGTACAATTTTTTCGTAGGCCTTTTTTTTCGGTGGTTTTGCTGTGTAGGATGTGGTTGTGATATGCCCGAGGATTCGGTGTGAATATGTTGCAGGAGAGGGTGCTTGAGCTCGAGTATGTGAAAGCAGTGGCGCCAAGGAAGCAGGAGGAACCTTGCCCCCATGATGACTGGGTTAGTGCTGTGGATGGATCGAACCCAGGGTATGGTTCAGTTATGTTCAAACCTGTTAGCTGTGGAAGTAACTAATCTGGTTTGGAACTTTTATCTTCTGTTATGTTATTTGTAGCATGTGTATTGGACCTGGGTTTGAATTTTTATTTGATCGATTTGCCTTATTTTGGTAGGTGATTAGTTGATGCGCAAATTCGATTTTTGACTAAGGTATAGGCTTCTAGTTTATTGTTGGTTTGAGTATCGAATCACAGACATGGCTGTCTGCTCCCATGCGTACCCCGCTGGATACTTTAGTTGACAGTTGTTACGAAATATACCTATGTTGATAATGTTGGCATTGGTGTACTTCAACTAAGTTTTGCACACTGCATGCTGTCCCTGTTGTGCGCTGATCTGCTGCTACTCCTTCCACCACCTTGGATTGGGTAGTGTTGACACCAATACTCCACAGAGCGTTGACACCAATACTCCACAGAGCACTAGTTATGAATAAAAATCACATGATGACCACATACTCTATTAAATCTGTCTCCTTGCTACATTGAACTAATTGTCTCCTAAACTGGCAAACTGCCCATCTTTAATCATAGTGACCACTGACTGATCAACATAGGTATTAGTTTGTAGAATGTAGAATACACCAGATAAGCTAGGGTCACTTTAGAAAGATGTACTCATGTGTCCTTTGGAATAACGCAACTAATAAAATGGAACAAGTCACCTCTATATATCACGTAATGCACAATGACGAGTTATCAGTTCTGTTGTTGGATATGCATAAGTCGTGCATTCACATAAAGATAAATATTTGATACCTTGAACCTTTATTGAAGTTTTAGTTTCATTTGGTTTGTATTACTGCTAAACCAGTTGTCTGTTGGCAGTTTTATATTATCTGGATCCTATGATGGCTTTGCGAGGTATTTATATAGTTCAAAACTATAATATTTTTATTACTCTGGTACATTTGTTGCTAGTATGGACCTGTTGTATGCCTTACCCTTTCATTCATTTTTCTCTTAGATTATGGAAAGATGCAGCAGTATGTACACAAATTTTGGAGGGACACAGTGATGCAATTACTTCTGCCAGATTCATAAATAAAGGTAAGCACGCTTGAAATAATAACTGTTTTGTATGAAGGCATCTGTTCCAAAAATGTTTCTGCTTCGTTCTCGCATTTTCGTGTTATTTTATAAGTGATTGGCATGAATGATGTTGTCACAGGATCTGAAACTGAGGGCAGTCTGCATGTAGTGACTGGCTCAAAGGATAGGTCACTACGGCTATACAAGGTAGTGGTGCCCTTTTACCTTTCCACAAGTCTTGTTTGTTCCATTGTAATATATTTTTCTTATATCCTACATTATGCCTTGGACTCCTGAAGTGTGACACATCAGTCAGTATGGACTACCCAAAGCGGGTTGGGGCTTACAAAATTCTTCGTGGCCACATGGCATCTGTTAAAAGTATCTCCGCAGACCCTTCTGGCGATATGGTAATGATCACTCTGTCTCTTCTGCATCAATGCTACTGCTATTTTTACTTATTATATATCCACATTTCCTTCTGACCTTTTCTTTTGGGTACCTAGCTATGTTCTGGATCCTGGGATAACACCATCAAGTTGTGGGCAGTTGAAGGATCTGAAGACGATGATGCTGTTTCATTGAAGAAGAGAAGGATGAATTCTGACTCATCTGGACCTGAAGAGTCTCAGTTAGAGGTACTAGCTATGTTCTAATCCTAATTCCTGAGTCTTGTATGCACAGCACCAAGATAAGAGTATGTCCATCCTTCAATTGACTGAGTTAAGAAGTTAAGCATGTTCATCACCTTATTTGCGATTTACTGGTATGCCCTTGGTGTGCTGACCTATGGTGATAAAGTCTATGTGTACTCAGCTGCCAATCAATGGTTTCTACTCATGATGTAGCCAGCTCTTGACGTTTATGTTAGTCGCTGAATTCTCACTCTCGGTAGTAGCAGAATTCTTACTCTCATCGAGAGAGGATGACACTAGGAGTTGGGGCAATTTTCTTGTCTATTTCCCACACAAACTCACACAAATGCCATACCAACCTGAGGGGTTGGGGTTACATATTTATAGGCTGCTAGTCAGCCTAGCATATGCCAAGATACTAGTCTAAGATGCTAATATGCTGTCCTAGCTAAGATGTTGTCCTCTAGTCTAAGATGTTGTCCTCTAAGATGCTGTCCTCTAGTCTAAGATGCTGTCCTAAAAGCGTAAAAAAAGCCACACAAGACCATGTGAGCAAAGACAAATTTCACAAAGACCAAATGCCACATGAGACTTATCCATCATTCTCCCTTAAGTCTTGTGCGTGCGTCTTGTGGGAGAGTTGAACCATCCCGGTCCCGGAGCAGAGCTCAAGGAACTTGATCCTCCCAAGGGGCTTGGTGAGCGGTGTCCGCAAGTCGGGTCCTTGGTGTTAATGTAGCTCGCCTTGATGCTCCCTTCCTCCAAACAACCTCGGATGAAGTGGTACCTCACCCGGATGTGCTTGCTGCGTTAAGTGGAACACGGGGTTCTTTGCCCAGGGGCAGGCGGACTTGTTTGTCCACCCCGAGCTCCACCGCTCTAGTGTCTCTGCCGAGGAGATCACCAAGCGGTCGAGCGAGCCAGGCGCTGAAGTCGGCGGTGGAGGCCGCTATGTACTCGGCCTCGCACCGGATGGGCCACCACTGGCCGCTTGACCGATCGCCACCTAACGAGGCACTTGCCGAGGAAGAAGAGGATCCCGCCGTCGTGCTCTTCTTGGTGTCGATGTCGCCGTGCGTGGTCATTGTCATCCAGCATGCCCGACGGCGTGTGCCTTAGGGCACCTCGGGTAGTAGAGGCCGTGGTCGAGAGTCCCAACGTAGCGGATGATCCTCTTCACACTACCGGTGCTCGCCGTCGTCGGTCATTGCATGAACCGACTAACGTGGCCGACGGAGAATGCCAAGTCCGGCCGTGTGTGGGCGAGGTAGCGAAGGCTCCCCACAAGACGCCGCAGATCGCTGAAGGCGTCACCTCCGCATCTTTCGTCATGGCTCGACCTTCACCTCTCCATCGGAGTGAGAGCTGGGTTGCGATCGGTGAGCCCAGCTAGCTCAACGACGCGCTTGGCGTGGCGGTCCGTCAAGCGTGATCCCGGAGTCATCCCGGTGCACCTCGATTCCCGTGTAGAAGGAGAGAGGCCCAGTGTCACTCATCCGGAAGGTGGCCTTCATCTCTTCCTTGAATGCCGCCACCTCCACATCCTTGGTGCCGGTGATCACCAAGTCGTCGACGAGACACCCACCGCCAGGGCATTTCCTCCATTGCCCGTCGGTAGATGGCCACCTCGTGTGGGCTTTGCTCAAGCCCATCCCTTTAGCGTGGAATCCAACTTGGCATTCCACGCCTCGATGCTCGCCGCAAGCCATAAAGGGCCTTGCGCAGCGGAGTACTTGCCCTCCTTGCCGGGATCGCAAATCCGGCGGTGGTGCACGTGACCTCCTCCTTCAAGTCGCCGTTAAGGAACGCCGACTTGACGTCCATGTGATGAACGCGCCACCCTCCGGGCGCTTAAGCGCAGAAGTCGTCGCGACGGACTCCATCCGTGCCACGGGAGCAAAGGCGTCGTCGAAGTCGACCCCCTCCTGCTGCACGAAACCTCGTGCCACCAAGCGAGCCTTGTGCTTGACGATGGCACCGGCTTCATCCCTCTTCAGCTTGTACACCCACTTAAGGGTGATCGCGCGGTGACCACGAGGAAGGTCGCCAAGAAGCTCCTGTGTGTGTTCTTCTCAACCGCATCCATCTCCAACTACATCGCGGCGCGCCATGCCATGCAGCGTCTCTCGGCCTCTCGCGCATACGACCGAGGCTCGCCGTCACACGCAAGGTGCAATCTAGCGCCTCCAGTCGTGAGGCACCGGTCCCGCACCGGTAGGTCACCGAGAAGGTTCTCCATCGTGCGGTACCGCAATGGCTCGCCGCCGTCGTGAGGTGCAGCGCGATCGCGCCTCCTCGTCGAGAGAGCGGAGATAGCGAAGCTCAACGGGCCGCTCGACACGAGCCGGAGTAGACGCGTGCGGAGAGGTGCCTGCTCGATCTTTGAGTCGCGGGCGTTGCCGGGCCGTGGTGGAGCCGGCGAAGAACTCATCGCACCGAGGTCCCGGGAAAGAGCGTGGTCTTGCTCGAGTAGCAGCGCCGGGTCGGTGGAGGCTCGGATCGGGGTAGACGCGCTTCGCCAAGAAGAGCCGCCTACTCCCCACTCCCTCGGCGGGGCGTACTCGACAAAGAAGTCGTCAGACGTCGAGCCGAAACCATCGCCCCACCGCTTTGTCCACGCCCATCCTCGCTTTTCGCCGAACACAACGTCGCGCTGCTGCCAGCGCGCATACTGCGCTGTGTCTTCGGTCGAGGATGCGGTAGGCCTTCGAGCCCTCCGCGTAGCCGGCGAACACTCCCGGAGTGCTCTGCGCTGTCGAGCTTGCTTTGATGTGGCCAAGCTCCTTGGCGAACGCGAGGCAGCCGAAGACCCGCAGGTGGGATCATTCTGTAAGGCATATGCCAAGATGCTAGTCTAAGATACTAATATGCTGTCCTCTAGTCTAAGATGCTGTCCTCTAAGATGCTGTCCTCTAGTCTAAGATGCTGTCCTAAAAACAGAAAAACAGCCATAAGGACCATGTGAGCAGCACAGCCCCACAAAGACCAGCCACACATGAGACTTATCCATCAGTTTCCCTAGTGCTGTATCTGGATTAGATGAATTAGTTCCAGTTATTTGGTTTTGTTGTGAACGGGCAAGCTGATGGTTTTCAAATCCTTGTATATGGTTGATTTAATGTGTATTGACTACCATGATTTTATGAGAGATAGAAAGATGCCACTTTTCTGTTAGTACCTTTTTTTTTTCTTTTCTCCTATTTCAGTCATGAATTCATGAACTGCCACTCATCTCACAGTTTTGATTCTTGTAATCTAGGGTTCAGCCACTTCAACACTTCTGGGACATACACAAGGTGTAACTGCTGTTATCTGGCCTGAACAGAAAACGATATATTCAGCATCTTGGGATCATTCTGTAAGGCAGTGGGATGTCGAAACAGTGAAAGAAACATGGAATATGGTATGAACTTTATCTTTATATTCCAAATTCTGTAAAGACCATCTAGTTGGTTTCAGTAAATGAGTCCCGACTCAATAGAATATTTGTGTATTGCAAAGGGGCTCTATGGACAATGATTTGTTTTTGGGTAAAGTACATTTTTCACCCTCCAGCTTGCAGGACAGCTCTATTTTCAACCTTAAATTACAAAACTGGGTATCGAATGCCCTGCAACTGTTGAAACCGGGCAAAACACAACCCCAAACTGGAGCAAAGTGGTTTCCGATGTGATTTTATAAAAATAATAAAAATCTGGTTTGATCTCTCAGAAATCATAACTAATTTATTTTAAATCAGAAAATATGAAACTAGTACCCATTTTTTCTACAAATGTTATTTATCTGTTGGTGATCTATTTAGAGTTATTTGTAACTTATTTATTTCTGTTCCTATTTTTTATTGCTCATAGTCCTGCTCATTATTTATTTAAATTACTGTTTGCACTGTATCAGACCTTAGATCAACCAAGGGAATTTGGCAGCTATGAGTACATAGAAACAAGACACAGACCTCACAGATGCCATGCTCTACCACATTTATAGATTGAATTTGGCAGCTATGAGTACATAGAAACAAGACACAGACCTCACAGATGCCATGCTCTACCACATTTATAGATCCTATTTAGGCATTGGATGGATAGCAATTTACTTTATATTGATTTCCTGATTAGGTAATAGGTTTCAAGCTATGCAGTGCATAAAAAATTATGCAATCAGCTGGCCATGCAATGAACATAAAGTAGATGGCAATAAATAATAGGTGTTGCTTCAAGCCATAAAACAGTAGGAACACAAACAAATAAGATCTAAGTAACTCCAAATAGAGCACCGACAGATACGTCATATGTTTTTAGAAAAAAATGGTTCTAGTTCCATATTATTCTGAATTAAAATAAATTAGCTATGAATAGAGATTAAACCAGATTTTTATTATTTTAAGGAACGAAAACTACCTTGAAAACCACTTTGCACTGGTTTAGGTTTGTGTTTCGTTTGGTTTTGACAATTGCAGGGTGTTCGTATCCGTTTATAGATCATGGTTAAAAATCGACTGTTGATAAATGGAGGTTCCTTTGCTTTCTAACTAGCTAACAGAAAGAAGGAAACCAACTTTTCTATGCTAATTCACCTGGACATCTTTTAGATTAGGAAACAAACTTTTCTATGCTAATTCACTTGCTCAGGTTTTCTCCTGAGTTTGCCTAAGGAGATGCAAAAATGGAAATGGCTACTTTAATTCTTGTCTGTTAAATGCAGCAGATCCATTATCATGTTCTACTTCACAACTAAATCTGTTTTATTTCACTTTTTCATCCAAACTTTTTCATAGTTTTGTGGGAAGGCCTTGAATTGCTTGGACTGTGGAGGTGAGGGTTCTTCATTGATTGCTGCTGGTGGCTCTGATCCTGTGTTGAGGGTATGGGACCCTCGCAAACCTGGTAAATATATTATAGATCTTTTAGTTAGCTTTGTTGGACCATATTCAAACTAGCTGATATGTTTTTGTCTGCGAATAGGAACATTAGCTCCTGTTTTTCAGTTCTCCTCCCATTCTGGCTGGATCACTGCTTGTAAATGGCATCCAAGTTCCTGTTTCCATTTGGTATCATCTTCATTTGATGGGAAAATGATGTTGTGGGATCTAAGAACAGCAGTATGATTCTAACAATTCATTATCTTCCTCATTTGCTCCTTGTACCATTGCATTAAATTTTCACTGATGATATTGCTCCTGTTGCAGTGGCCGCTGGCGTCTGTGGACTCACACGAAGATAAGGTGCTCTTTTGTGCCATGTTTCTTTTTCCTTGTTTCAGAAGGGGAAATGAATGATATGCTTAGCTAACTTTGGCTATTACAGGTTTTATGTGCCGACTGGTGGAAAGGGAACAGCGTGATAAGTGGCGGAGCTGATTCCAAGCTATGTATCTCATCTGGTATTCAAATTGTGTGATGAAGTTCTTCCTTAAGCTTCTTGAGTCCATGCTATCGAGGTTTGAACTCAATGGTCATCATTTTGAATGGTTGAATCTTACTTCTTTCCTGTTGCATACTCTGCTTTGCCGATGCCGAACCATTTAGTGCTTGCTAGCCATAGCTAAGTATTGTTCAATTGCACAGATGATATGGATTGACAAGCCATTCCCAGAAGCCAAATAATGTCAGCTATGGTTGTGGGAAGATGTGCAACCCTTCAGCCAAGATCAAGATACGGCACAGGGCTTGCCAGATGTGTATGCAAAAGTGCATTTCATGCATTAGTAAGATCCATAGCAATTGATAACTACATTTTGCTCATCAATTTTTGTGTTCGTTGGTGAATTTGATACCAAAATTACTTACCCCAAGATCATGAATTAATAGTTGAAGTTTTGGCTGACCGCCTCTGTTTATGCTCCGGTACTTGGCGCTTGGCAGCGTGGTATAAAGGGACCTAGCATATGATTGTGAATGTGATCGACGTTATTTGCTTATTAGGAGTTACTGTGTTGGGTATTGCAGTTATCTTAGCTCTGGCTGGGTCGACGGATGGGAACTTGATGTAACGTGGTCGTCGACACAGAACCTGCGTAACTTGAAGAACGACCACAAAACCTGCGTAACTGGAAGAAGAAAAAAGAAAGAAAAGAAACAGAACGCAGAGCCGCATATCATGTTCCAGTCACAGTAGACATGGCCGCTTCCCAGTTCTCAAGTTTCTCACTGTACTGGCAACGCTTGTACAGCTCTCGTGCACAGTTGGTGCTTCCCAGTCCTCTTTACCGATGGCCTAACAAGAGTCTGCTGCTCGTATATCTGCACTCGACATGCTGCACGGATCAGTAGTTGAGCACTCACCAAGACCGTCCCTTGCTCGTTTATCCTTTTTTCTCAACCAAATCTGTCTGTCGAGCTAGACTCTGGAGTCTGGAGCACAGCCTGCAGATGACCAACCAAAGTCCGGTCCGGCACTCCGGCAGCTAGCTCTAGCTGCACTACCGATGGGCTATAAGTACAGCATGGACCTTCGCCTCTTCCATCCCCACAGCCACAGGCCACACAGCACCTGCTTACAATCAACATGGCCTCGAGAACCACCGTGTCCTCCCTCGCGCTCCTGCTCGCGCTGCTCCTCTCGTGCGCCGCCGTGAGCAGCGCGGCGCGAAGGCTGGAGGAGGCGGCGCCCAAGGCGGGGGAGCCCCACCTGACCGTGCCGGAGCTGCCAGTGCCAGTGCTGGAGCACGAGCTGCCGCCGCTGCCCAAGGTCGAACTGCCGCCATTCCCGGAGGTGCACCTGCCGCCGTTCCCGAAGGTGGAGCTTCCGCCGAAGCCCGAGATGCCGGCCATTCCCGAGTTCCATTTCCCGGAGCCGGAGGCTAAGCCATGACGCGCCACCGCTGCATCCTACTTCGTCCTCGGTCGTACGCGTGTGTGAATTGTATATGTTTGTGTTGGGCTATGGTTGTCCGCTCGATCGTTCGTGTGTGTGTGCTGCTTGCGTTGGTGTGACTTGGTGTGTTGTTCGTGTTTAGACGCTTGTTTACTTACGGGTCCAGTTTTCAGCGTGTGTCCGCGCCGAAGACAAACGTACTCAGCGTAAGAGACTGTCTTGCGACTTGTCAATTGTCATGTACATACTGCATGTGTATACGATCCCTCGTATGCTTACTGTTTGTCAACAGAGTATGGATATCATCTTTCATTCTTTCTCAGTGAAACAAATAGGAAATTGCTAAAATTCAGACTTCGTTTCAGACGATGGCAACTGCATATATTTTATAATAAAAAACTCTTTAGACAAAATCACAAACCCGACAAAACTCGTTTCAGCCCGAGTCCTCTGTATCCACCCGGCACTTCCCCGGCGAGACCTAGCTGCTGGCCGAGCCCACCCCTGTGTGCAGCTCCGGCCGGCCGATGCTAGCCTCGCCCTCCCTAGCCCCGTGTGCCGCCGGCAGCTGCCGGCCGCCCGCCCGTCCCGGCCGGCCAGCTCCTCCCCTGCGGGCAGTGTGCTTCCAGAGGAGGAAGAAGGACCTATTCACGAAACAATATATTTTATAAAATCGTAGATAGGTCCTTAGTGTGGATGCCAACACGGATGTTATTGTGGATATTGTTTCAAATTTTTTTGCCTTATTATCATGGCGCATCTGAATTTATGCACATGGATGTTGCATTGTTGCATGAACTTAAAATAATTCCTCCCTATATGAAAAAAATGGTGCAAAAATGGTTTTAAAGAAAAAAATTCTATACTATAGGGAACAACAACCATGATAAAAAGAAAAAAATGGCGCCAAAACGCAGTTCTATGATGGAGAGAATGGTACCGGAGACTGGAAATTGAAGGAGTGGTAAAATCACCCTTTCGCATTTGAGTTACACCGTTAAATGCCTAAAGTGACGATAGTGTTAGGTTATATTTGGACCACTCCAGTTTTTAAGAATGTAGCTTTTAGAAACTGGGTGAGATTCAAACAGGTCAGTTTTTGCCGCTAGTTTTAACCAAATTCTTAAAACCAGAAAGCTGTTGATATCCAGTTTTTATCAGTTTCTTGTGACCCATAAAGCAATAAATGAAGTCAAAATTTTAAAAACTGGGGATCCAAACACCCCACCAGTTTTTGCTCAGAATCTAAATTTTAGAAACTAGAAGCAAAAATTGATTTTTAAGAATCCGAAACTTATCCAAATAGAGCCTTAGTTTACGAACAAAAATTTCAAGCGAGGCCAGATAAGAAAGATTGGAAGTTTGATTGCTAAATTAGAAACAAGTCTTTTTATGTCAAATAAGGAAATTTCTCTATTATTATATCTACTTCACCGCTTCGCCATACCTTAATTTTAAATGTTACATTATCTATATTATTATCTATATATAACTGACCCGATTCCAACTGAACAGGCAAGGTCTACATTGGAATAATGCTACGGAAGTTATTCTACTGCCTTGGACAATCCAAGCATGCATCGTCGTCGTCTCTTCGATCGCCGCAAGTCCCACAACCTCGAGACTCGGACGCCGTGGACACGGACACGGCAGCATTGCTACCAATTGACGACGACGCAGATGTCGTGGACATGTGGGCGGCGTCGCTACCGATTGATCTCCTCCTGGAGATCTTCCTACGCCTTGAACCCGCCGCCGTCGTCTGTTGCGCCGGGGTCTGCAAGCCGTGGCGGCGCGCCATCATCGGCAATGCCGCGATCCACGGGCCTCACCTTGATCGATTCGGTCCCAGCCTGCTCCTTGGCATCTTCCACTACAACAAGTACGCATCGCGCCTACGGCGCACGCCGGGGCCGTTCCAGTCCGCGATCCCGTCGAACGGCGGCGGCGGCGGCGGCAACGAGGAGACTCCTGCCTACTCCTTGATACCGGCCGCTGCGTCCCCGCGCTCCCATTGCTGCTGTCGTCTAGGGACGGGTTTATCCTGCTGACAGCAAGAAGCGTCAACAGTCTTTGCCTGTGCAACCCCGTGACCGGATACCTTACGATTGTCCCCGCCGTAGCAGGCAAACACAACGAGTACTTCTTGCTCACCGGCTCCAACGCCTCCGATGACAACCTGGCGGTGCAGATACTCGCCGTTCACAGAACCAGAGACCTCTTAGCCTTATCTTTGTGGACGAAGAAAGGAGCTAGTCTGGCGTACCAGCTCTTCTCCACGTCCGGCGACATGGCTGTGGTGTGGGGCCCAGTAGTCCAGTGTTCCGGCCATGATCGTCTCTGCGTGCGGTTGGATCGCCGTAGCATGGCTGTTGGCCGGGCCACCGTGTATTGGCTTGCCGGGCCTTTATTTGAAGTCACATGCGTGTTCGCCCTTGACGTCTGCACTGGCCGGACGTGGACAATGGCCCTGTTTGGATCTATGGGTTAGAGCTAGTTTGGGTTAGTTGGAGCTCAACTAGCCCTAAAGTAGCCAAATAGGAGGGCTAGAGTGGGTTATTTGTAACTAGCCCACCCTAAAAAACTATCTCCCCAAAGAGGTGATTATTTGGGCTAGTTGGAGCTATTTGAGGTGGGGTCCACTGTTTTCTCTCTACTTTCACCCGCACCAATGATTTGGAAAGCACATTTATTATCATTTTAACTCTTGTATCCAAACATCTCTTAGGCTAGAGTTAGTTCAGGGCTAGTTCTGAGCTAGAACTAACTCTAACCTCTAGCTGTGCTAGAGTATCCAAACAGGGCCAATGGAAGTGCCAATGCAATGCCATCTTCCCACTCATGAAACATCAGCATCCATCCTGGCGATGTCGGGAAACGGCCGGCTGTCCTTGGTACAGTCGCTTCGGGGGCCGCCCCATATCAAGGTGTGGGTGCTGTCCCTGTCCGGCGACGCTCAGTGGACTCTGCAGCGGACGATATCAATCGACATGTACAATATGCTGCCACATTATTGCCCGCTGTTGAGATGCTACTGGACCGGCGACGGCGACGACATCCCATGGCTGAGTGCCTTCTGCCCGCGGAGCAGGTGCGTGGTCGCCTTATGGTCGGACCAAGAGCTCCTCGTCGACATCGAGGGCGACGGTTCGCGTCCACGTGTCAGGCACATCGGCAAACGGCTGGGATATGACTGTTGGCCTTACGAGATGGATAGCTCATCAACTTACATCTCAAAGATGAAGCACTTTAAGGCAAGTTGTGCCCTGTTCGCTTGAGCTATTTTTCAGCCATGGAAGATTGTTTTTCTTTTACAACATTTCAGCATAAGCATCATCATAAACCAAATTTCAGCATAAGCCGAACAGACTAAAGTTTTGATTTAGTGGTTGAGCCCTACTAGCTAGTATAAATGAACCATAGTAATAATTTTTCTCGAACGTGCCGTGTAGCACGTATTTCATTAAGAGAAAGTAGACAACACCGAACCAAACAACAACGACTGGCCGGTAATCCTAAAATTACCAGCACAATCCCACAAACACAAACGATACAAAGAAGAAAGCACCGGGGTAGGGCCTCCA